GTCGGCCCAACAGTGGATCCGCGGGCCGAGCCCGTACCAGAGATTGATTCTATAGAAAAAGTATCCAAACCCATACGGAGGAAGGGAATAATAACGAATCCCAAAATAAGGAAGAAAACAAAGAGAAAAAGCAAAAAATTAAGCTGCCATGGATCGCAGCCCAAAGGGATCGTCACACTGACTCGGGAATGATTGGCTATTAGCGGCGGATAGAAAGGAGGATGACATCTAGACTGGACATCTGACCATTCACGGGTGATGAGTTTAGTACATGAAAGGTACGGAAAAATACTTAAAAACACTTGCGTTAAGTAGACGTGCAGGTCAAGTTCTAAGTAGCAACTAGTATTCTACCTAAGCGCCGTGAATAAGGTATAGCACAGACCATATACTCCCCACGACAGGGATGTCTCAACCCGGCGGAACGAGGATCGATCGATAGGCTATCGTTTATCGATAAGCACAGCGTCTGATTTCCCCCACTTGAGAATTTTTTGGTGATGGCTTCCGGTTTACCGAATGCATTATACAGGGGAGGAAAAGGGCAATGCTGTATAGAATATTAGTGTACACACTCTGTATTAATGTTGCATAACCAGTTATTACTCTGTACCTGTAAACAAGTAAATAACTGCCAGTATTACCATCGGGACTGGATTCTAAAACCAAAACTAAAACAGAGAGAAAAAAGTCTCCCAATAAAATCGAAAATGAAATAAAAGCCCAAATAGAAAATTCAAGCCGAAATAACCAAAGTACCAACTAAAATAATCAAACATCAACAGATGCAGGTCTGCCCAAGCAAAACAATGCAGCCAATAACGGAGATGCTGTCCCGGGGGCCACTCTAACACTCCCGCGCAGACCGCTGGATGAGTACTGGGTACTTGATCGACAGCCTATTCTCCATCACCCACATCGGTACTCGGTACCTGTGGGTACGATGTCAACCGCACGAGGACTGCGTCTGCTCATACATAGCCTGCTTCCCCCCCCGGGACTAGATCACAGCATATTTCCCCCCTCTTCACAATTTATATCGTCATCTTCATATTCATTTCTACACTTTCTACCTACTCATTTCCCTCTTTGGTGATTTATTCTTCTATACCAATTTCTCTATAAATCATCTTCTTCCCCCCGCCCCACCCCTCTCTTTTACACACACACACACACACCGCCTCTTCATGATGGCACAATATTTCCAGTCGTCTGAATTCTACCAACAATCACCATCGACGTTAGACGTGACACCGGAAGACGACGAGATGAGCGTGTTGGACGATAAGATCCTGGACCCAAATTCTGAAGACCATCCCGACAATCGCCGCGCCTCCTACGACGCCCCAGATGCCTACTCACATCGGGATTCCGTCTGGTCAAACTACTCAAATACCAGCTCCAGCCAGTCGCAGTCAAATTCGCATTCGCAAATCGGACACGCTATGCTGAACTCAACTGGTGCCCCATTCATGCCCGTCGACGGCCCGCAGTCGGTTTCCTACACGCAGGGATCGTGGCCCATGCCGCGCACCGATTCAGGCTCATGTACCCCGACCGTGGGCTATGACCAGTATCCTACCAATGGAGATCAGAGTGCCATCACTCCTTTCTCTGGTGGTGCGGTTGGACCCGTCGGTGCTATGCCCATGAACCCCATGTCGTACCGTGGAGGTATGGCATTTGCGACTCCTGGCAGTGTCGCCATGTCACCGCAATCAAGCCAGGGTTGGATGCCGGCGCCGATGGACCTCGCTGAAGCAGAGATGCACTCGAGGAAGAGCCCGAATTACCGGATTGCATTGCCGTTGAGGCGGGGAGATGGGATTCGGAAGAGAAATTCCCGAATTGAAATCTCCCCCGAACTGAGCTTGGCCAATATCGACGAGGCCATCCGGGAGTGCACGGATGAAGAGAAGAAAAAGGAACTCAAGGCAAACAAACGACTGCTGCGGAATCGGGATGCAGCGTAAGTGGAGATTCACACGTTGAGTTGAATTTAATGCTAACCTTATTTCAATAGTCTGCAATCTCGTCAGCGTAAGAAGAAGGAAGCCGAGGGTAATATAGAAAAGCTCAAGCAAAAGGATGAGATTGTCGCGCAACAGGCAGCAAAGCTCGCGCAACTGGAGGAAAATAACCAGAACATGCAACGGGCCATGAAAACCCTGGAGTATGAGAATCACCAGTTGACTGCCTACCATAGGCAGTTGACCGAGCACATCCAACGCCAGGACATGGAGAAGGATGAAGCTACCCTCAGACACACGCGGGAGACCGCCAATCTGTTGAAGAGGAACAGCATGCAGGATGAGATCATCAAGCAGCTGGAGCGCGGTGTCAAGCCCGCTCAAGAAAACCTGCCTGGCGACTTCACCGGCTTTGAGAACCCCACCATGGAAAACCCCTCATGGGACGACTTCTCAATGGTCACTGGACCCCCCTTGCAACCGGAATATGTTCAAGCCTCCCGTCCTCAGGTTAGCCAGCAGGTTAAGGTCCCGGAGAAATCCAGCAACGGATCTGACCTGCCGATCAGCTGGAACGCTTTCTACATGTTCCTGCTTGTCGGTGCCTTCTTCGCCTCGAAGAGTACCTCCCTACCGGGCCGCTCGCTGCCCCAACTCTCTGAAGAGTACCGGGCCGAGTCAGCCAACGTGCTGAAAGCCGTGCTAGCCTCGTCACCTGGTCATGAGCTAACCCATCCCCACTCCATCAATCACGCGACAGCAACCGGACCTGTGCCGGCAACTATTAGCGGTATGGAAATGGCGCAGATGAGCTCTGTGCAATCCGTGCCCTCGAATCTAGACCAGATGCATAACACGCTCGTCATGCCGACAGAGGAGCAGGAGCGCGAACAGGTGTTCTCAATGAACGCGGACCAGTATAACTCCTTGACCACGTTCGAGGATGATAGCGGGGACTTCAAGCCACAGCAGCCATCTACTCTGCAGCAGGCGTTTGCTGTGATGCGGGATACCGCCGCGCAGCAGAGTCGTATGCACTCCGCTTTGTCTTCCGATGTGTATTCCAGATCATTGATGTGGGACCGAGTGCCTGAAAAGGTTGTTCGGGACTTCCGCCGTATGGTGCAGGGTCATGGTTATGATACCCCTGTTAAGGAAGAAGGTGTTTTCCACCCTTGAGGGTTTCCTTTCGGGATTAGGCTTGCGGTTTTCGACACACCCGTATTTTATTTTTTTTTGATTCTTTTCTTCTACCGTTCTTGCATTTCTTGCGATGTCCTGCCTGTGATAGTCGCTTGATCTAGCCCATTTCTCTTCTACCTTCCTTGCAATTCTTGCGACATCCTCTTTGGGATTGTTGCTTGATTTGGCACCTTTCTCTTCTACTTTTCTTGCATTTCTTGCAACATCCTGCATGGGACTGTTGCTTGATCTAGCCCTTTTTTTCTCCTTCTTTTTCTTCTTGAAAAATACGGGCTAGCAATGGCTCTTGAAATACTAGCGTGCAACGATAGATCACGCAACACTTTATATTCTTCTCTGTTTGTGTACCTTTTTCAATGTGTTTTTTCGAGTTCAGTCTCAGGGTCAGGTTCACTCGGGCACAGGGGGCTTTTGTTTAGCGATGTGATAATTTTAGCGTTTGGCTTCGGAGCGTGTTTCTGTTTCTTGTTTTGACTGATGGGAGGGGAACTATATTATACGAACGACAGTGTGGGAACCTGAATTATGTGTTTATGTGTACAGACTGGGGATCCTCTCTGCAAGCTGGGATGAGATCTTGGCATAGGATACGAGAAACGAAACGAGTTATGAAGAAACCTTGCATGTGGCGATTGCATTCAACTGTGCTTGTTATGGCTTGTTTTATGACCTATGTTTTATGTTACTTTATTTAGCGATCTGAGCTGGGATAGTCTCGGACATCGGGGATGGAAATGGGATGGCATGGTCTAGTATTTTCGGGCTGGATGAACTTGCTTTTTCGTGTTTCCAAATGTCTTCTTTTAGTCCTCAGCCCTTATTCTTGGAAGTTCAAGTCTAGACTCCACACATGACTCGCAACGTTGTCTTAGCCTGAGTGATTTTCTGCTGAACCCCCAAATAGGCGGCTGCAACGTTAACCTCCGTGATGAAGAGATGACAATGTGATGTCTCATTAGGTGACATGAACTGCTCTTGCGAGGTAATTTATATTATTTGATCATTATTGGGTCGGCTCCTGCCGACTCAGTGCATCCTTTCCGCGTTTGGCGATGAAAGTATCCATGTAAATCGGAGACGTCCGCCCACCATATTCATATTACACACTATTCATGCCTCTAAATGTACCCATGCGACCATGGAATGACACATAAGTTCAAGCCACTACGCAGAAACTGCCATTTCGAGTAGTATCTCCTCGTAAAAAGACTGGGATGCCGGGGTTTGATCCACGCGTAATCTATGTTCAGGGACCTTGGGGGAAAATCATGATACTAATACCCAATCACCACCACGAGATTTGGCCCACTGACAAGACTTGCGTCGAATGCTTACATCGCCCCAAGCTTTGACAAGGAATTATCCGAGTCTTGGTTCTGTAACAACGTGTGTAGGGCTGATGTTTGATCCCGTCTGGGCATTTGATATCCGGCAAGGGGCAGGGGGAACCCTAAGTTCCGAGTACAATGGTAGTATAATAGCAGCACACCACCCAGATCAGGGATTCTGAACACCAATTAGATATTGTAACGGTCCTAGAAGTTCTAAGTTGATTCAAATACCCTAGTCAATAACGTAACCAGCCCTGGAAAATACAAGCTAATCACCAAACTAACAAACACAACCCGTACTGCAACCTCCCAAGGTCCTCAGTACAACGGAGGCCTCGATCAAGCCTAAGAGTCTTTTTCTCAGATATAAAACAGTCAGACAATTCCTGTAATATCCCTAGGATACGATCGCCGTGTTTAATCTCCCTCTTCGAGCTTTTATTTGGGCTTCTCCCTTCTACCCTCGGCGCACGATCTACCAAAACAACCTGCCAAGATGTCTTTTGATCCTCATAATGTCGACCTGGACACAGCCGACGCAACTGATATTGTTTGCTACATAAATGCGGGGAGTAATGAATACAATGGCCAACTAGGCGCGCGCGTCTCCGCCATCTTCGTGATCATGATCGTCTCTTCCGCAGCAACCTTCTTCCCCGTGCTAGCCCAACGCGTACCACGTCTGCGAATCCCAATCTACGTCTACCTCTTCGCCAAGTACTTCGGTGCCGGTGTGATTATCGCAACAGCCTTCATCCACCTTCTCGATCCCGCATACGGCGAAATCGGCCCCAACACGTGTGTCGGAATGACAGGTCACTGGGCAGATTACTCATGGTGTCCGGCAATTGTATTGACCTCACTGATGGGAGTTTTCCTCATGGACTTCGGTGCCGAGCGCTGGGTCGAAATCAAGTACGGTGTCTGTCGGGAAGACCCAGAGCCCATGATGTCGACTGGAGGTGAAGCGCGCCGTGTTGACTCGCACGCTTCGGCTCGCCGCGCAGATGACAAGCAAGTCAAGCAAGTCGGGGAGGTTGAGTCGCAGACTAGCGAGCTGGCGATCGAACGCTCGGTTAAGCAGCAGCTTGCGGCGCTGCTGATTTTGGAGTTCGGTGTTATCTTCCACTCCGTCATTATTGGCCTCAACCTTGGTGTCGCCGGTGATGAGTTTGCTACCCTCTACCCTGTTCTTGTCTTCCACCAGTCCTTCGAGGGACTTGGTATTGGAGCCCGCATGTCCAGTATCCCATTCAAGAAGGGGAGCTGGCTTCCTTGGTTCTTGTGTTCCGCTTACGGCCTCACGACCCCGATTTCCATTGCTATTGGTCTTGGTCTGCGCACGACTTACAACCCTGGATCCTTTACTGCCAATGTTGTCTCCGGTGTGCTGGACTCCATCTCCGCTGGAATCTTAGTGTACACTGGCCTCGTTGAGTTGCTTGCTCGTGATTTCCTGTTTGATCCTCACCGCACCCAGGACAACAGGCGCTTGGCCTTTATGGTGGTGACTATGCTTCTTGGTGCTGGTATCATGGCTCTGCTTGGAAAGTGGGCTTAAACAAAAGTCGAGTTGAAGATCTGAAGATGGTGTGTGTCTTTGGTGAAAAATGTGTGAACTGTGATATTGAATATAGATGGGTTATAATTGGTAGTGTAATTGAGTTTCGAGACAAATGATACCCAAGGTGGGCTGGTTTTGTGATATGTTTCTGTTTTCTGTTTTCTTCTTCGCAAGTAGAATAAACAATTATGCGAATGCTTACTCTAGGAGGCATAAGAGTCTTGGTATGTATAATATGTATAATATCATATTATTCAATCGATCTATCTTACTTGCGTACGCCAAAAAAGTAACCTTTTTACCACGGTCTTTGCGGTTCAAATATCTTCTTGAATTGGAAAGCTAGGTTCACCTTTACCTACAGGGAATCAAGGCTATCCAGGTCCAAACCTTCAATACAGTCACTCAAGTTCGCAAATAGAGATTTGAAGGAGGAGTCGTAACATCTGTGTGTTTCTGTAAAATTTGAAAATACCCGGGACCAACCACACCATTGTGGTGATTTGAATGACAATACCTTCTGCCTGAGATCATTGTATTTCAAATTCGGAAAAGGAACTGCAGGCTTCGACGAAAGAAGATGAATTGACTCCATATGCATCGCAAGAGCTCCATACATCATTGAGCTGCATTCAAAGCTACAGCCTCGAGTGCGGCTCAGGAGGGCCTCCAGTGTTTCATGAAGGAAAAGAACCAAGCTATTGATAGCCTTCTCTCTCGATTCGTTCATTAACCCTGAGATTCCATTAGATACTAAACATCTCCAGAGTTTGTTTGACTTTACCGATGACTTTATCAGAGATAGGAAGTACCCAACCACTAATCACATTCTCACTGCATGACATGACAACTGATGTTGATTCTTTGAATTGGGAGGGGAGCTGGAAAAACCAGGAAACCCACAACCACAATATCAAATCCCGAGAATATGTCCTAGGAACCCTTTCCTCCAGACTGTTGAGCCAGGTTTCTGCCATGGGGTACACAGATTCCCTGCATTCATAGTAATCCGCTATGGCAGCAACTTTGGCAAGCATCTCAAGGGTGAGCTTTCGTGGTACGTCGTAGTATTTACCATGAATAGCATGAAGCACACACAAGAGCGCTTCGATGTCCCAGCCCTCTGCAGTAATTTCAACTGAGCCTTTTCGAAGATAGGTAATGCTTTCTTTCCAACCACCGGTGAGTATTCTTTTGAATACTGGAGTTGCGAATATCAAATGCTTCGCGGAGACTTGAATGTAGAAACAACTCTCATCAAGCGGTTCGCATATTTCCTCGACAGCATGATCTTCGATAACGGACTGTTCGGCAACATGCTGTTCGGGAACAGGGTTTTCCATAGGTGCTGGTTCGGGAGATGCAGCTGGTTCAGGAACAGGCTCTTCGGCAGCAGGGTCTTCCATCGGTGTTGGTTCAGGAGATGGAGCTGATGCTGCTTCAGGAGGGGTCTGAATGGTGCCCGATTTCTTTTTCTTTTTGTACTTTGTCTTCAGCCTCCTCGGACGGGGTTGCGGGGCTTCAAACACTTCAGGCTGGGGTTCAAACACTTCAGGCGAGGGTTCAATCACTTCAGCAGGACTTTGGACACAGTGACCGGATTCTGGAAGGGCCATGCCAGTCATCGTATCTGCAATCCCTGGTGCAAAAGGAGAGTTTGCATTGCGCAATATGATGATCACTTCACCGTCTGAATCGATAATATGAGTTGGTTGATTCATTGTGGTTATCAAATGGAGGTAGAAATGGGGGGTTCCATTGTAGGATAGAAGAGAAAGAGATTAACTATATATATAAAATTTCTATAGGAGGAGGACCGCCTTGGCCATGGGACAGGATAGAAACTGGCGGTTATGAAGGACAGGAAGGGAGTCTGAGGGTGGACTAGGCTACATTGCTAGATGTCTACCCGACCCTTTGGGTGTCTGAGATTTACGGTACTGTGCAATCACCCATTGGTTGCTGAAAGTGCTTATTTATGCATGTTAAACAAATGTACATAATGTGACACGATACGGCTGTCAGGCTGTTTACCAACTAACCTAATGCATGCATGTGTATCTAAAACTACAGGGGTATCTGTTTGCGACTTTTACTATGGTTGCAATTTCTGGCGCTAAGTGCGGACACTTACAGCCAACAGAAAGGAATTTAAAGCCATTTGGTTTTGAGTACGATAGTATATACAGGTACTAAGACACCTTATAGCGAATCGGGATTATGGCTTACGGCGGTTACTACGGGAACCGATTGGACTAAGTATAACGAGATAAGAATAGAAAGCCTAGGTAATAGTAATATTAATATGCGGTTAGTGGATGTATGTAGCATGTAGTTATAGTCGGTATTTCTTATTAGATTATTTCTTTTTCTTAGAGACCGACTACTAGGCTAGCTAGTTGATCTACTATTCCATATAAGCATAGTTAAGTACAGCTATTGAAAAAAGGACCCACTGGAACGAGAATTTCATATTATGAACAAAAGAACCTTGAATTTAACCACCTCATATCACGACCACAAAAGCAAGTTAGCCAGCGACGATATGAAGAACAAACGGTTGACTATGACCTTTCCCATACAAGCGACCCACGTATGTAGTGGCACTATAGTAGAAACACGTAAGTTTGGACGAGGAAACAAAGAATTGTGGATATCTATAGAGGATTTGAGATAGAACTCACATCAACAAGATACGCGTCAGCAGTATTCAGCTGGAGATTGTTACCATTGAATGTGACCAAGAGCCCCTTCCCACTTTCAAGCCAGTTGGGGGGGGGGGGGGGGGGAGAGGACACTTGAAATTTATCCTTGACCATAATTTCCCCGCTTGCTTCCACTAGATCGTAGCGCCGCGATGTGCTGGGTAATGCTTTCATTGCCTTGGATTGCATAAGCTTGAAACCCATAGATTACTCTCTGCGACCTAATAATAAAACTAGACCAGCCTCAAGGAGTTAGTCAACAGCGTTAACATGTTTCGTCTGCGTGGTAGAGGTTTCGGAGCGGGGGCGGATTGAGCTGGCGCTTAACCGTCGAACACCCCTTCTGCTATATAAATACGCGAAATTATTTTCTTAACAGACCTACTAGTACTCATAGATTTTTCAATTAATAAGCCTGTTGTTATTCAGGGATTACCAGCACAGACACCACGCATTTAAAAAGATTTTGAGCAGGCATGGAACTCACAATGCACGCAAGGACTTCTGGGCCACTGAGAATCCTCTCACTTGGTTGGTGCTCTTATTCCCTCTGGGTAGTAAATGGGTTACTCACATGACCCAGACGGTGGTGGAGTTCGGGGAATCTCGAGTCTATTGATATTAGAAAGAATCATGGAAAGGATCCGCGATGTTCAACACCTTGACCATGTTCCACGCCCGTGTGAGCATTTTGACTTGATAGGGGGTACGAATACTGGAGGGTGCGTATATATGACCTATGTATAAGATTTAATTTGCTAATATCCTACCAGAGTCATCGCTATTATGCTCGGTCGGCTGGGAATGACCGTGGATGAATGCATCCGAGCGTACAGAACAGTTGCGAAGCGTGTTTTTATTCCCAAACGAAACGCTATTATCCCCGCACGATCCAATGGGGCTTTATCTGCCCAAATATTTAAAGAGGCCATTAAAGAGATGGTCAGAGAGTTCTGCACGGACGGAGAATGTGTGAATCATCGGCGCAATGGCCACTCTACACCGTGCGAACATTCTGATCTCCTCTTCCGCGAGCAGGAGTGCACAAAAACGTGAGTGGCTCTTCAATACAGAGTTTGGATTAGTATTGACAATCAATAGAGTTGTTCTTGCTCTCACAAAGGACAATATCGACGCTGGACCTACGCTCTTCCGGACATACGACAAATCAACTTCGTTGAAGGATTGTACTATCTGGGAAGTGGCCCGGGCTACCTCGGCTGCGCCCACCTTTTTCAAGCCAATCAAACTTGGTAGAGAAGGGATCGAGTACATTGATGCTGGGTTTGGGTATAACAACCCATGCGACAAGCTTATTGCCGAAGCTAGGAACGCGTTCCCTGGACGTAGCGACCTGCAGATTCTCAGTGTTGGAACCGGTCTTAGGAGCGTGGTGGAGATGAACAATACGCGCCCATCAATTATCGAGGCACTACAGAAGATGGCTACGTCCTCCAATGAGGTAGCTGCGATCTTGGAAGATGAATATGGCGATAGCGGTCAGTATTTTCGATTCAATGTGGAACGTGGTCTAGAGAATATCACTTCGTCGGATTGGGATCAGGATCCGGATCTGGACAGCACGATCTCTGCACACACAAACAATTATCTCTCGCAGAAGTCAAGGGCAATCGACAAATTTGTGAAGATATTTACCGCAGGGAGTGAGCAGAGTAAGCCGAATTCTCTTCAGTTTACGAAGATCCTAACAGTCGACCTTCCTTCAAATAGCTGACTCGGCTCTAGACCAGCCAAAGGTCCATCAAATAATTCCATTTATCGCAAATCCTGGCTTTACTGGACGTGAGGCCGTACTAGCTAAGCTTCAACAAAAGCTCTTTCTTCAAAAGACCACCCGCAAAATGGCCCTATATGGGTTGGGGGGTATCGGAAAAACTCAAGTTGCTTTGCAGTTTGCCTACTGGGTAAAGAATAACCTGCCACAGTATTCGATATTTTGGGTCCCAGCGTTCAGTGAAGCTAGCTTCAAGCAGGCCTGTACGGGTATTGTAAGGGACCTTGGCATCCAAAGATTTAGGGAGGACGAAGACGACACGGAGCTAGTTCGTCGGTATCTTAGCTCGAGTGAAGCTGGACCGTGGCTATACGTCGTCGACAGTGCAGACGATTTCGACTTAGTTTTCGGAAGCGACAGTGTACCAGGTCAGCTGTGCAAACACTTTCCGGCCAGCGACACCGGTACTCTCTTGCTTACTACCTGTTTCAGTCGAGTGGCGCAAGGCTTCACAGCACAGAGAGATACAGTCGAGATCTCGCAGATGGAAGTGGGCGAAGCGAGTACTCTTTTTGAGAAGCTTGTGTCAAAAGATCTGATCCACGACCGAAAGATAACGGAAAGGCTACTGGAAGAGCTCAGATGGCTGCCTTTGGCTATCAAACAGGCAGCCTCCTACATTGGTTTCACCAATATGCCGATTTCACGTTACCTTGATCTCCTACATGGGACAGACAAAGACAAAGAAACCCTCGCAAATTGGCACTTTCCAGATGATACTCGGTACCCACAATTACCAAATGCTATTGCTGAGACATGGCGTACATCACTTGAAAGGATCAAAAGCTCAGATCCTATCGCCGCTGATATACTGCAGTTCATGTGTTACATTGGACCGAAAGCAATTCCACGGTCTCTCCTGCCCTCGTACGAATCCGAAGCGCAAACAGAATCTGCGATTAGTACGCTATGTGGATATGCATTCGTGACCAAAAGAAATGATGGAACCACGCTTGACCTTAACCCTCTAGTTCAGCTAGCAACGCTACTGTGGGTTGATCAAAAAGGCGAAGCATTCCAGACAATCAAGAGAGTCATGCAGCGTATGGTGGTGGCATTAGCACCTGAGGGCCAGATCAACGAACAGATGAGGAAGACGTACGTATTACATGCCCTTGAGCTTCTTCGAAAGACAGAGGGACAATATATGGATGAGAGGTATGAGCTCATCTCAAAGAGTGCATCCTGTCTCACAGGTCATAGCAATGAGAGAAAGGCGGTGGAATTATTCGAAAAGAAATCCAAATGGGGCCAACTTCGCTATATTGAATAATACACCACTGGACTAAGCACACGACTATCTCTCTCGGGAGCATATGCAGCAGATGGTCAGACGAAGAAGGCGTTGGAGCCGAGGGAGTATATCATCACGGTGAAAGAGATAACATTTCAAAAAGAGCACCGTGAATTCATTTGACGATGCTGAAAGCCATCGAATAATCAAATTGAAGGCCCGAAACACTATTCTACTCGGATGATACTTTGGCAGAGGACCGTGCTCGGATTCGATCACCCCAGTACCAGAAGCATACAGGCACTGGGATCAGACAGACAGTCACGGCAGCTAGAATTGTTGTGGCATTGGAGACACCAAGCTTCTCAAACATCTGGGTGGCAAAAAGAGGAAATACAGCCCCGAATATGCTGCGCAGAGACCCGTTGACTCCCATTGCACTGTTTGCCATTGACGTATAGCAATCCACAATGTAAATAAATCCCTGAATAAAGACCAAGTACATACCACACCCTATTAAGAGACTTGCACAGAGGGGACTCGGCCACGGGATGTTTGGTTGTGCTGTCCACGCAAACCAGAATATTCCAATGGGGATGAGCACTCCGCCAAAAATCATTGGTGGTAGCCGAGCTTCTGGGATGAAAACTCCATCGGAAGCATAGCAGTGGTGTCTGAAGTAGACCTGGTTATAAATTATAATCCCCAAAGTGCCAATAAAAACGCCACTGATTATCCCAAGAAGAGGTAGAGTGTCGACACTGGTATTCCAACCACGGATCTCTCCGAAGTAATAGGGATAAGCCTGGTAAAAAAGAAAAAGAACACCATAGAGAAAGGATTGATATAGGGTCAAAAGGGCGAGGATAGGCTGAGTAGACAAGAGCCCTATTGGGAACGAAACAATCAGCATCGAACAAGGCGCAGCAGGGAATATTGACCAAAACGTACAAAGAGGCCGTATGAGATATACCCGTGCAAATTGATGAAGACCAGAGTTTTCTTTTTCCAGTTTTGAGCGAATGGCATGGTTTTTATATTTTTTGCGTAGTAATTGGGCTTCCTTTCGAAGTATAGCCGGGGGGTAGGTCTCTGGAAAGATCAAGGTTGCTATAGCGCAAACTCCTAGCCCTGAGATTAACATTACCCAGATGGTCCAGCGCCAACTCAGTGACGATTCGACAATAGCACTCCCAACTATCGGTCCAAATGTCGGGCCAGAGAAGAACAAGCAAATCACGATAGGCATTGCGATACTGCGGTGGGCCAACGTAAAACAGTCGCTTGTGATGCCTCCCATAACGGCTACTGGAGAGACTCCAAAAAACCCAGCAAATAATCGACCAATAACAATAGTCTGTATATTTGTACCAAGCGCAGGCATAAGTTCCAGAAAGGAGGAGACTGCGATGCCACAAATCAATGGCCATTTGCGGCCGAACTTTTCTGAAAGTGGGCCGAATGTGAGAAATCCGAAGATATATCCCTTTGGAGAGGTCAGATAAGCACTAGTAAGGTAAAAATGAGTTGGAAATCTGGCACCTACCGCCATAAACAAGGTAGTGCACAAAATCGCTACCTCTCTGCTAGCCCCAAATTGCTCGGCGACCTTTGTGTGCGCAGGGCCCATGATGCTGCTGCTGATTGTTCCGATGAGATTGAACACGGATAACATGACGACTACAAGAATTTTCTTGACAAGCGGCCAGTTTTGGGGAATTCGAGAGTCATTGCGATGTTCGAAATCAATGAGCAAATCACACCCCTGTGGCTCTTTCTCAACCTCAACTTCAACTTCTATGCCATCCGACCCCATCTTCTGTCAATTTTGCGGATTGGATGATCCTAATAGAAGGAAAGGCTTTCACAGCGACAGGTGATCGGGTGGTGAGGATCACAAGGATTCATCGAACTAGAAACATGTCGTCCGGCCGGTGCAGTAATGGACTATATCAAAAGGAGCTCTTTGGTTCAATTCTTTGGGCAAACCGGGATCTTTCAAGTTCTCGCCTTTCTAGGTGTTTTTTTTCTCGATGAATGTGGAGAAACTGAATCTTCAACACCGAGTGTTGAAATGCTCTTGTGGGTCCTTTATAGTTATTGTACTTGCTGTTCTAGTTAAAGAATGGTCCAGTCTTCTCTGTTTTTCTAAGCATAATTTCCTCAAGTTTTCCATAGAAGCATTTGACTAAACTATTACAGGCTCGAAATCTCAATGCAGGATAGATACTGAGTGGAAACAAATATTCGTTTTGAACACTGTCCAAAGACCGTGAAATGCCCGAACAAATCCCGCGGGATCCTCTTAAATAGGCTTGGCATTATAAATTACTTCACCGACCAATCAAATCCGGAAGGTGATTTGACAGCCTTTTCCAGATAAAGATCTCGGGAACTATTTCAAACGGCGTTTGCTGATCGCCTTACGCAGCGATATAAGGCTGAGGCTTCAAATCCCCTTTTAGGAAAGGGTTGATGCCTGAAAGCCTTAGATTAGAATGGTAGAAAAACATTAATTAACTAACTAGTTAGTTAGTCACACATGCCTTGGTAATCAAAGTCCTCTGACTTCTACTGACATTCTCAAGTCCAAAAAAAAAAATAAACTTTTGACTCTATACACCCAGGTATCTCTTTATTGCTGGGCGTGTATAAGCCCTAAAAAAGGGGGTTGAACTAAGCCTTATACCGCTGCTTACTCGCCTCACATTGTGCCAAATATACAACATTTACACCGTTCGAATAAACATACCGGCATAGAGTGCATCGAAATGTCTACTTACCATGCCAATCAATTTCATACTTGTCTAGGGTTGACGTGACTAGGAGACCAAGTTCGGACTATTTGACACGGTGATATATTCGAATCTTGCCTAGCTATCTAATTGCAACTGGCCTGCAGCAACTCTTAGGTAGCACGCTGATCATATTTCTCCCCAAGTCCCTTCAACACGACCTTCACCAAACCTCCTAATGTACCTGCTCGGTTGATTTCCACCGTAGGAATCTCCACACCCAGAGACCTCCGTAGCCAATTCCTAACCTCTATAGCCATGAGAGAGTCCACTGCCATACCGGCCAGTGCCTCAATATCATCTGTAAAATCTTGTCCCTGGTCCTGATCTTGCCCTGTGAGATTGTGGTTGATGAACCTGCCCAGTTCCTTCATCAAGGCGACCCCAGTCTCCTTTTTGCTTGTTAGGGAGGGATCTGCTTGTATCTGAGCAAGGAGGACCTTTAGCGCATTTGCCTGAGAGGATTGATCCCCGCCAATTCCAGCACTGGTAGATTCAAGGTTGGGATAGATTGCAAATCGAGCGTCGCGTCCACCGAGGAAGATTTCCTTGGGGAGATCTGCGCGGCGCCTCGTGTGTGCGAGTCCCATTGCCATTGCCCCGGTTGAATTAGAACTAACTGGGGATGTTTTGATCGCTGCAGCCAGTGCATCAATCACTTCGGCTTCATGGAGCACATGCAGGGCAATTGATTGTACTCTCTGGAGGAATCGGGAGTTGCGACTTGCAGCACCCACGTCTCCAACCACTCCGAGGTGCAAGATAGAAGATGGAAGCCCCTGCTGTCGTCGATACCGGGTGAATGCCTCCAAAAATGTAGTTGCTGCGGCATAATTGGCCTGGCCAGTGTTACCACATACCCCGGCAATTGAGCCGAACACGACGAAGAAATCGAGCGAGTGTTGCGATGTGACATGATGTAAGTTCCAGGTTCCGGTGACTTTGGGTGCTAGTGCGGCCACCCATTCCTCGTGGCTCATCTGCAGGAAGAGCCGATCCTATACGATGTTAGAGATTTTAGTGTTTGACAAGGCGTTAGGGTGAGAAAGGGCGAGAAATCCCTACATTTAGGTCAACTGCCATCTGGAGAATACCAGCAAGGGGCCGCTTGCATGCGGCAACAGCCTCCTTTACATCTCCGAGATTCGTCACATTGCCTATCACACAGATAACTTGGCAACCTTGTACTTCAAGTTCTCGAATAAATGCTTGGTCCTGCTCGGATTTGCCAGCCGACCGCGAGAGGAAGATGAGCTCTCGCGCATTCTGCTCGACCATCCACGTTGACACGGATCGCCCAATACCGCCGAGCCCACCAATGAGAAGATAAGCGGCGTCGGATCGGAATGTCGGGAATTCTTTCACAGCAGGAGGAGCCAAGCTCTCCACGGAGGATGGCATACGCACCAAAATCTTGCCTAGGTGAGTTCCTGCCTGCATATACCGGAACGCACCGACTATATCAATTGCATCGAATACTTTGACGGGTTGGAGAGGTCCGATTTTCCCTTGGCGATACCAGTCTGAAAATGTTTCCAGGGTGCTGTGATGTGTTAATTAGGTCTTGTTCCTTGGAGGTCAACTTAGGACGAACCTTTTGAGAATCCCCGGAGTCTGCTTGCAAACCTGAGCGAGGTCAACGCCGAAAAATGCTCGGTTCGCTTCAAACAGGCTCATATTAAGCATGCCATGACTTATGAAGTCACGTTTCCCCAGCTCAATCATCCGTCCGAACTTCGCAACGCATTCCCATGACGCGTGTAATAAGTTACCCGACAAGGAATTGAGCACTACATCAACTCCCCGTCCAGCGGTGGCACGCATCAGGTCCGGTTGGAAGGACGTGTTGCGAGAGTTGAATATCCGTTCTCGAGGTAAGTCGAAATGTTCCATCAAATGGGCTACTTTTTTATCGTTGCCTACCGTGGCATATATCTATATTAACTGATGATTAGCTTGAAATAATTAATATTAACCACGGGAAGGTTCGCTGACCTCGGTACCCACGGCCTGGCATACTTGAAGAGCAGCTAGTCCGACTCCGCCACATGCGGAGTGAATGAGCACGGACTTTCTTCACATCAGTTGACATCAATAGATGAAGAACGCAATAGTGACTCACCTGGCCCCTCTTTAAAGCACCAATATCAAGCAGTGAGTAGAGAACAGTGACATAGGCTGTTAACATGGTGGCAGCATCTGCCATTGACAACCCTTGTGGTAGCTTTATACAAGCTTCTTGAG